TAAGGGTTTAAAGAGACCCCTTTCTTCAACAATACCTTTGAATATTATATTTCTGCTAAATCCTACACACTGGTCCTTTAAATAACACTGTGTCTTATATACTCACACATACAGTATAATACAATATCACAACCATTAAAATACTCATTACTGGGGATGTTGTATTATCAGTGCTAACATTGTAGCTGCATATTGCGCTGATACAATCTCACTTTATCAAAACTATCAGTGTGTTTCCCTTAGTATGATTCATTGTCATTATGCAAACACTTTTATACAACAATGACTGGTTAAACCTCAAAGCTCTGGTGAGCAACTGCTGCCTGTCGCAGTTATCAAACACACTGTGGGCCCTGTGTCACTGTCACACTTTGATAAGTTCACATCTGGCCAGGCTTTGTTGCTTTGTCTGACGCCCAGGAAAGAGATCTGAGGGGCAGCAACAAGGGGGTGACATCCTCCTCCGTTTTGGTATATGTGATTAAAATGATCTCTTTCCAGACATTACATTACATTACAGGTTGTGTAAGAGCTGATGGTGTTTACCTGCCTTGCACCTGTAGTCCAGTGTGTGGAGGCGTTGGTTTACTTCCTAGAATTAACAGCAAGGTGATATTCTTATTCTGTGAAGCTGTCAGTGTGAGAGTGAGTGGTGTTGCATCCAGAAGGTTTTCCCATGAGCAAAAGCATTCACATTCTCGCGTTCATCCGAGGGTGGTCCGAAGCTTACATTATAACTGCTGCAATGTTTCGTGTTGCCTTTCTAAAGACAGGTCCATATAAGAAGTAATGAGTTCATGCTGATTTTCTTACGTAAAGCAGTTTTGTGACCATCACATAACTGCTTTACCAGTCACATAACAGGTTACATTAGCATTTCATAATAGGGTCACATATTTGCCATGTTTCTTGTATAATTATATGAACGAGGCCTCTAAAAGCCCACACCCAAATTAGTATGCCATAAAAGGTTTTGGCCAGCTGCCCTAGATCAGTTTTATAACTGAACCAACAACACGTTAAATTCTGTGCCAAAACAACCGCACTAAAAACACTTTTTAGTGCCACATTTGCGCTACAGTTACTGATTAATGCAGTCTGATCCTCGAGGGTGTCGGTTTGTCAATCTGTGGGACTGCCTTGAAAAACCTTGCAGGTCGAAATGTTACATGCTTTAGGAGCTTGCAGATTTCAGTATGTGGTAGTGCTGGGCGATGTACCGGATGAAATACCGGTATTAATTCCCTGTTTGATATGAATTTTGAATATACCGTCTTACTGGTACATAATCTGAAACAACTGCTGTTGAGTCTGCATCTGTACCCAACTGGGGTTGGCACACTAACTTCTTTACTGCCTTAAAATAATCCTGTAAACAGTCTGAACAGTTCTTATCTTGCTGATGTTAATGGTGCTGACTGGTTCTTTATTGTGTCCATTGTATTTTCTTTATCAGGTTTCCTAAAATAGACATATGACTTATTTATAGGCCTGCCTCCTCTGTTGATGAGGGGTGTTGTTTATATTATAGATTGGCAGATTA